TACGATTTTAATTTTTTTTTAATTTTAATTCACAATAACAACGATTTTGTTGAGCAATATTTTTTATATTTAAATATAATTTATCAGCAATATCATAATATAATTCTATACTTTTGAACGTAGTTGTTTGTAAATTAGATAATAAATTTATTATAGTATTTTGAATTTCATTTTTTAAATATTGTGGTGCATAAAATTGATTTTGTCGAACATTTAATTTTATATAATCATTTGGAAATTCTCTTTCGATATTATGCAATTCTTCAGTACAAAAGTTTGCAAGATACTCAAGCTGAATCAAAAAAAAAGAGAGACCTTAATGAATATTTCAAGAAAAATATGAAGAAACAATTCAAATTACAAAAAGCTTAATAATTATTAGAATAATACGCTTAATGACGGCTACGAACTACTAGTAAATTAACTCTTCTTATGAAATCATTCTGATTCCTCTATGTTCTAATGAACTGTGCATTGTTCGTTAGATTGACATGGGTCTACTGTCAAGTAAGAAAGAGGCAATATAAGCATTACGTAAGCAAATTTTTCACTATTTCAACTCTCTCCTCTTCTCTAAAATTAGCAATGGTAATTCTGAACCGATTGCTTCCTCTTGACTACATAATCATTAGAACAAATGATGTGGATGTGGGTGTGTGGGTATGGGTTTGAGTGTTCTGTTTATTCACAGCCACTCCGACAGCCACACTAACGCCCCAGATTCCCTGCACTGACGGTCACACGAACATCGACACCTATACCCACGCCAACACCCACAGCCTTCCATTCGTCATGAAGATAGTGCATCAACTACAGTTATTAGAAATCTTTGTTCTTTTTTCAAATTCTGGAAACTTTCATTTGTAAATGAATAAAAGATTGATTAGATGATGATTCAATAATTCTTATTTCATTATTAAAAAGTGTCATGATGATTGAATGTTGACTATACTACCTACAAAACCAGATAACAAGCAATAATAATTGTTTAAATAGTTCATAAAAATTAAAACAAAATAGCAAAAGTCAATTTCATCATCTTTGACTTAATAAAAAGTAAAAAAGTTATTTGCATAAAGGATTACACAAATCTTACAGGAAGCTTTTTAGTTATAGCCACATTGTTATTTTTTTTATTTTATTAAATTTCACAATGAAACAAATGGTTTTTGGAGAATACCGTCAATTTTACCTTGCTATTCAGATGTAGCACGAGTAATTTCATTCGTTTATGGTTCTATTGAGTAATAAATTGTTCTATCATCAGTTGGACTTGATGCAACCTTTAAAAAAGAAATTAAATATTAATTACTCGTTGTTCAACAGTAATTTCAAATCGTGTTTGGATCGCTACACGATAAATAATATGCACATCTTCAGATTCAATTATTACTTCATCAATTATGGTTAATAGACTTTCATTTTATATATTCAGTTTATAAATAAACATTAAAAACAACAAACAGAATAGATATTTTTACCAACAGCCTTTTTGCCTAATATTGGATAACTTGGTTCAGCACACATTTCAACATCATAAAGTTCAGGATCTTGAGATAATGTTACTTTACATGTCTTTAAATTCTTTATTGCAAAAGTAACTATAACTATAAAAAAAAGAAGATTAAAAAACACATACTTCTCGAACAAAATCTTTTAATGATGCAACATCTGTTAATATGGATGGATCTTTATGTACGACAATAAATTCTAGTAATAGATATTAAAAAAATAATTCCATGCTTAATATTTATACGTAAATACTTCAATTAAATCTACTCTCATTGAAACAGCTTTTTCTTTTCGTACAGCTTGGTCTAATCTAATTACTGTATGTACAGCGGTTACAGCATGTTGAATAGGTTTATTCACCCATGAATGACTAAAGAAAATTTTGTTCTGTATTTTCTTCAACATTGAAAAAAGAAAATAACAAACCATGATTTTAGAATCATTTGAAAGTAAACACTTAATTCTTGTTCAGAAGATAATAATGATTGTGGCATTAATTTTCTTGACCTTTAATACATATGTTCAGCAATAAATGGTGTCAATGGTGCCATTAATTTAGCAATTTGGCATACGAATTGGTTAACATATCAATATACTTAATAAGACGAGATGAGGCACCAAGGAAATGATAATTTTTAATTTAATGGAATGAGATACTGAAAATCTAATTTAGTAAGTTTACGCAAGACTCTGAAAAAGTATAGAATAAGCACTTATATCATTAGATTATTTTAGTTGAACGGTTTGTACA